TGAGAATTGAGGCATGTGGGAATTGGGGAATGTGGGAATTGGGGAATGTGACAATTGGGGAATGTGGGAATTGGGGAATGTGGGAATTGGGAAATATGAGAATTGGGGAATGTGGAAATTGGAAAATGTGGAAATTAGGGAATGTGGGAATTGGGGAATGTGGGAATTGGGGAATATTGGAATTGGAAAATATTGGAATTGGGGAATGTTGGAATTGGGGAGTGTGGGAATTGGGGAGTGTGGGAATTGGGGAATGTGGGAATTAAGGAACGTGTAAATTGGGAAATGTGAGAATTGGGAAATGTTGGAATTGGGGAATGTTGGAATTCCAAAATATCAAAATTTAACAATAATGAATTCTCATCAATGAATAACCTGATAATTTCACTATTACTAACATCATCTTTATCCATTCAAAACAATCAGAACGTCTCAAATCACTTAATCTAAATTAAACAAAAATATCATAAATTACAACTTACATCAAAGCGCAAAGAAGCACACCAGACCCCAACCACAGTGTGTTGAACATGTTTCTGTTTGAGGAACATAAATGGACCAGGCTATCATTCGAGTCATTTATATACTTCACGCTTGCATGTTATCGAATTGTTTGATAATACAGAGTACAAATTGTTTACATTGTCTTTTTTACGGCACGATATTATCTACAACTGTAAGTAATTAACATTAAAGCAATATTATCAACAACTCTCGATATTATTTACCGATATTATTTTTTTATCGCTCGATCGAATACTTCAGTGGTTCACACCTCCGGACACAATTTTTCCAATCACGTGCAGAGATTTGTACAGTTAAGAGGGATTACCCGCGTGATTTTCTTGATGAGTTTATTAGAAACTGAATCGATTCGTAACGGTATACATCGATTAAACCCGTATGCAACTACTGCAGATTCGAGGAGTTGAAATGAGGAAAATAAACGGGATTAACAGGTTTCTCCCATTTGGAGACCTTGAAATTGTTAAGGAGGATATTTGTGATGGTCAGAAGAATGCTTGGATGTTTGTGTTAGCTGAAATTGGAAATGGAAATTCTATTTTGAGAATGATAGATTTATTTATAGAATAATGTCGAATAGGGGAATTAAATTAAATTGAATACTGGGAATTATGGGGAATTGGAATTGTAAGAATTAGGAAATTTGAGAATTTGGAACAATGAGAATTTGGAAACTTGAGAATTTGGAACTTTGACAATTTGGAAATTTGAGAATTTGGAAATTCGAGAATTTAGAACTTTGAGAATTTGGAAATTTAAGAATTTGGGAATTCGAGAATTTAGAACTTTGAGAATTTGGAACTTTGAGAATTCGGAAATTTGAGAATTTGGCACTATGAGAATTTAAAACTTTGAGAATTCGGAAATTTGAAAATTTGGAACCATGAGAATTTGAAAACTTCAGAATTTGGAAATTTGAGAATTAGAAACTATGACAATTTGATTCTTTGAGAATTAAATCCTTGAAAATTTAAGAAAATTTTTTTACTATTAAAAATTGTTCCCCGAAATATTAAAAAACCGCTAAATTTCTATGAAACACGAAATATCCTAAACTCTACGTCCCCTATTCTACAAAATAAAGGTTCGTGTATATCATGAAGGTAAGAACCGTCCCAATTTCAACCTCGTTACGTGGATGTGAGCAATGTAGAAAATCAGTGACACTAACAGGAAAAGTTTTTGTCTGACGCAGACCATTTTCTCCATTTTGTTTCTCGATATCCTGAAACGAAACATGTTGCACGACCACCGTATCGCTCGAGGAGACACAGTTTTACGACTGTTTGCGAAGAAACTGGATCAAGGGATATTTTCCGTGATAGATAGGCTACATTATACGAGCGACAGTCGCATCCATGCAAATCAGGACAAATATAATTCCATTATGCAGAACGACGGGGATTTAAAGACTACTTGAAAATGTAAAAATCTTATATAACGCTGTCGACGTTGATTACAGCAATTTTCTCTTTTGGGAATTTGGGGATTTAGGGGTTTACGGTTAGAGTACAGTAATTTTCTCTTTTGGGTATTTGGGGATTAAGGAGTTTACGGTTAGAGGGGTGTAGAGGTATGGGGGTTTAGAGGTTTAGGGACATAGGAGTTTAGGGGTTTGGGGATTTAGGGTTTAGGAATATGGGAATTTGGGGATTTGGAAATTTAGAACCTTGAGAATTTGGAAACTTGAGAATTTGGGACCTTGAGAATTTTGGGAACTTTAGAATTTGGGAACTTGAGAATTTGACGATTTAGGAATTTGAGAATTTGAGAATTTTTGAGCTCTAGAATTCGGAAGTTTGGGAATTGGGGAATGTGGGAATTGGGGAATGTGGAAATTGGGGAATGTGGGATTTGGGGAATGTGGGAATTGGAGAATGTGGAAATTGGGGAAAGTTGGAATTGAGGATTGTGGGAATTGGGGAATGTGGGAATTGGGGAATGTGGGAATTGGGGAATGTGGGAATTGTGGAATGTGAGAATTGGAAATGTGGGAATTGGAGAATGTGGAAATTGGGGAATGTGAGAATTGAGAAATG